TACGAAACGCTTAATCGGAAGTCAGTATTGATAGAGAGACCTGAAATAGTCGCCTGGCGTCGAAAATACCTACGCGAAATGATTGAATATAGGCGACAAAGCAGAAAAATCTATTATTTGGACGAGACATGGGTAAATGCAGGTCACACAGTTAAAAAAACCTGGATAGACAAAAACGTAGTGAGTAACCGACAAGCAAGCATTGAAGGTTTGTCAACAGGTCTTCGTGGACCGTCAGGGAAAGGTCAAAGATTGATCGTAACTCATATTGGTAGCGAGAGTGGCTTTTTAGAAGAGTGTGACTTGATTTTCGTCTCTAAGAAAGGAGGTGATTACCATGACGAAATGAATGCCAGCTGCTTCGAGAGCTGGTTTCAAGGGGTGCTTCAGCGAGTTGAGCCCAACTCTGTGATCGTCATGGATAATGCTTCCTACCATAGTCATCGAGCCGAACGTGTACCGACTATGGGATCTCGAAAAAGTGACATGCAGCAATGGTTGCGCGAAGAAGGAATCCCGTTTGACGATTCATGTGTGAAAGCGGAATTGTATGAAAAAATTAAACAACACAAACCTCCGAACATTAGTTACGTGACTGATGAGATGGCCCGTCAATGTGGTGTCACTGTGCTGCGGTTACCGCCCTACCACTGTTAACTGAACCCAATAGAGCTCATCTGGGCTCAAGTGAAGGGTTATATTGCGCGCCATAACACAACCTTCAAATTACCAGACGTTAAGCTTTTACTTGAGACTTCCATACAGCTAGTAACGCCCGAAGCTTGGCAGAATGCTATCCGTCATGTTGTGAAGGAAGAAACAAAAATGTGGCAGCTTGACCACCACATCGACACCATCATAGAGCCAGTTATAGTCAATTTCAACGAGGAAAGCGATAGCGACAGTTTATTACTGCCAGATGTAAGTGGAAGCGACGATGAATAAAGGTAATTCCCAAATTTTTGACTTAAAATATGTTTCAAGTTTCAAACCACCCTTTATTAAGCATGTGACAAATCTAGTTCACCCATGTTAAACATTCATACCCCGCCTATGAACAGCCGACTACTGGTAGTTAAGTGATGTTCACGTGAACATCGATGAGTCATTACAGTTTTAGATAGTTATAGTATAGATAAATACGTTTTGGTAAATTCTTTAGGAGAAGATACACATAGAGAGAACCCGAAATTATTGTGTCTAAAAGAAATGAAATATTGTTATAGCGATTGCATAAAAGGTAAATTATGACGTTTGGCATCATAATGAAGGTAATGTCTTTAAAGATAAAAAATTAAGGTTGGTGGGCCATAAAAGATCATGTAAGACCCATTATTAAAAAGTCATAGTTATCACCATGTTATAGTAAAATTTTATCAATATGGTAGCTCGCTTTGTTGACATCGGTCGTCGACATTAAAATTATAATCCCCATAACAAAACGTGTGGTTTTAGATAAAAGCACTTTCTATGATAAATTGTGTCCTTGTTCCTTGCAAGGTCATTCGGAAGAGTTCAATAAAAATTTGAATAAATAACGATTAACTCTGAAATACATACAAATAGGTATTTTATAGGTTATATAAGAGAACAAAGCGTTACCTAATAATTTATTTCCTCCATTTATCCAGTAAATGAAGGATTTATATTTGTTAGCATAGCCTTCCAGGCCCACCCATGTTACTTGGATATTTTCATCGTCATTAGTAGAGAGAGCACATGTTTAACGAAAAATTGAACTTTTTTTCCGATTTATGGGGTGTTTATAAAGCAACTTAATTTATTTGAAGTTAGGTTAAGGAACAATAAACCCAATATGCCTAGTGGCAAAACGAACATGTCACCTACTTTTGAGAAACTGCTATGCCAAAAATTTTTGAAAATCGTAGTGCATTTAGAGATGCTCCGAATGGTGCTCTTTAGAGAAGGCCGAGTACCAGGTACTAGGCCAGATTCGAACACTGATACTCAATCGCTGATTTATTTCAGTTATTATCATACACTATTAAAGCCCTATTTGAAATTTTTGAGAGGTCTATCTATTCTCAAAATTGATTTTCTTTTGCAAGAAATTAGCGCATCACAAAAAATAATTGTGAGACTGAGACGATTTTTTTTATTGAAACAGTGTAGCCACTGTATTAAAATTATACAGGGTGTTTCAGTTTATTGTTGCATAACTTTAAGATTCGATAGAATTTAATGCATAAAGTCTATCTAAACATGGGTCGAAAAATGCGTGGCATCCGAAATACAGGGTGTTTAAATTTACTTTCTAAAATAGTTTTTTTTTAAATATTTCGAACAATATTTGAAGTATAACAGTGAAAATTGGTATACAAGGGTTTTTTTTGGTACGACAAACCAACCATGGGCATAGTTTTACTGTAGCCGCTAGAGGGCGCTCTCCACTGTACCTGTAGTGTATTAAAATGACCGAAAAAATTGTCTTAGTGCAATTTTTTGCTTTTTGAATAAAAAAACTGATTCTTCGCACTTTTCAACATAAAAAAGCTCTCTTGTGAATTTTCGTTATAGTTAGCCGTTTTTGAGATATTTCGATTTCTAAGGTTCGATGCATTTTTAATTATTTATGATAAAATAGTCAGTATCTCGATAATTTAGTAGGCTGTGCCTGCAAATATTTTTGAAATTGAAAGCAGAATAAGGTTAAACGTCAATTAGCTGACAGTTAGTTTTGTTGTCTGTTGAAACCTGAAACGTTTTTTTGCAATTGTGAATGCACGAAATTTAGTTTCTTTTACCTGTTTTTTTTTTGTAAGTTTTATAAAAATGCCATTTTTATTCTCCAATCAAGAGTTAGCGGATATTCATTTTGTGTATGGCTTTGTAAATGGAAACGCAGCAGAAGCAGCAAGAGAATACGCACGAAGATTTCCAAACAGACGACATCCAACTCGCTCAGTATTTGTAAGAGTGCATCGCCAAATAATTGAAAATGGTTTTGGAAATCCCCAAAGGGATCAAAACATAAATGTTCGTCAGCGTAGATTTACTCGTATGATTCTGCGTGAGTTTGATAGAGATCCGACCACAAGTGTTAGAAGAGTTTCTGGTGCCTTGGGAATTACAGCAAGCCATGTTCACCGTGTTCTTAGAAATGACCATAGACGTCCTTACCATTTGCAACCTGTGCAAGGACTACAGCCAGGGGACGGAGAACGAAGAATCACATTTTGTCAGTGGATTCTTGATAGAACTGATAATAATAGGTAGTTTTTAAGTAACGTTTTATGGACCGATGAGTCATGCTTCACTAGACGTGGAGTGGTAAATTTTCATAATCAACATATTTGGTCGCATGAAAATCCGCATGCAGTTCGGGAGAGAAATTTTCAGCATGAATTTAGTGTGAACGTGTGGATTGGTATCTACCGTAATCGACTATTTGGATCCTACCTTTTGCCTGCAAGGTTAAATGCTGCGACCTTCTTGGAATTTTTAAAGGCTGGACATGCAAATATGTGGGATGATGTTATGTTAGATTTAAGAAGATTGGCCTGGTTCCAGCTTGATGGTTGTCCAGCTCATTATTCGAGAATAGTTAGAAACTGGCTGGACGAAAATTATCCAGAAAGATGGATCGGCCGTGGAGGACCAGTTGCCTGGCATCAACGATCCCCTGACCTAAATCCATTAGATTTCTTTGTGTGGAGATTTCTAAAAGAAAAAGTGTACCAGACTCCCGTAACCACAAGAGATATGCTAATAGACAGAATCAGGAATGCATGTGATGAAATAAGGCCTTATTTGAATGCTACACGTTCGATCAGTCGTAGATGTGAATTGTGTATTGAACAATTGGGTTTACATTTCGAGCAACTACTTTAGATTTTGTATGTTTGTCCTAACTATCCAATAGCATTTTAGTTGTAAATAATTAATTTAATTTGTTAAAAATAATATTGGAAAATGAAACAAATTAATATTCTGTTTTTTTGTGTTTATTTGGAGTTAGGAATTATTGCTGTGTTAAAAAACACAATCTAAACGATCATCTTAATTACTTGTAATGCCCAAATCGAAAGTGTAAAAAAAATATTGTTTTCCCATAAATAATTAAAAATGCATCGAACCTTAAAAATCGCAATATCTCAAAAATGGCTAACTATAACGAAAACTCACAGGAGAGCTTTTTTATGCAGAAAAGTGCGAAGAATCAGTTTTTTAATTCAAAAAGCAAAAAATCGCACAAAAAAAATTTTTCGGTCATTTTAATACACTACAGGTACAGTAGAGAGCGCCCTCTAGCGGCTACAGTAAAACTATGCCCATGGTTCGTTTTGTCGTACCAAAAAACAGTTGTATACCAATTTTCACTGTTATACATCAAATATTGTTCGAAATATTTTAAAAAAAAACTATTTTAGAAAGTAAATTTAAACACCCTGTAGTTCGGAAGCCACGCATTTTTCGACCCATGTTTATATAGACTTTATGCATTAATTTTAAAAGTTCTATCGAATCTTAAAGTTATGCAACAATAAACTGAAACACCCTGTATATTTGGAAGTTTTTGGTATAGTCTTCCCTGTTACATTTGTAAGACATTATAAGTACAGAGGCAAGTTGATACTTGTGGAATGAAACTTTCAGTCGTCAGTGGAAATCGTTCGAAAGGTATACGCTCAACATTTTGAACCTACATTTTTGTCAATGGCAGGCAAAGGCCTACCATGCCGCTATGTTGCAAAAATTTCAAAAAATATGTATCAAAATCGCTATCGTATCCTGGCGTTACCACCGAGAGTACAAGGCCAAACAACTGGGCTCTGAAAAGCCTGTGACGTCACGCAAAGTAGACCTATGCATGTTCTTATGGAGTTTCGCCATGACTGGCTGGCAAGAGAACCGTGCCACCATTTCTCTGGGGTGTTGTCATATCTAGGTTTGATATAGCAGTATCGAAATCTCTACTAATTAGTTGTACCTCTCTGTGGGCGAATTTGCAAGATGTACTCGGGGCCTGCGCAGCTTCAGTGATGACGTGATTATCCTTTCTGATCTGCCTCAGTATGTCAAGAATACATTTTCGATATTACGTTCAATCTGTCACTTGTGAAGTCTAATACTCCATTCAAAATTGGAAGATGTGGCAACCTTGCCAACTAACCTCACATTCTGAGCCTCATCTTTCAATGCTATGTAAACTGAAAATTATTCATGTTTTGAACTTATATTTGTCTCTCGTGGTTGTTTAGCTAAGTTTTCAAAATGCCTTACAAGTGCTGGGTTCCTAATTATGTCGGTAATTACGGGAAGGGTCCGAAGGTATACGTATTTTCGTTTCCATTGAACGAAAACTGTCGTAAAAGATGGCTCAATGCAATCCCTCGTAGTGATTTAGTGGTTACAAAATACACCCGAGTATGCAATTTGCACTTCGCTGAGGACATCATCATTTGGGAATCCACCTTCCATGACGAAAAGACAGGTAGGACCATTATTGTACCCCTTAAGTATCCAAAATTAGAGGCAGATGTAATTCCAAGTAACTTTGCAAATTGTCCAAAATACCTTTCAAAGGACAAATCAAGCAGAAGAAGCCGAGATGAGAAATTGAGGGACAAGGAACAAGAATAACTACTTAAAGCACTGCAAACTAGCATTGATGATTATTCCTCCTATTAAAAATCAACTTGTTTTCAAAATTATTCAGACTTTCTCACAGTTTTCAGTTCATGGCAATGTCCATATGGCCAGCATAAAATTGTTCAGGATAAAGTTACTTTGTTTAAGTTAGAATATAAACCAGCACCCATCATAACTCACTCTGTAATTGATGATAAAGATCTCAATGTAAAAATGTTTGTACTCCCAAGAATTGTTACTCAACTCAGCTAATATTAAAACTCCATTTTTATTATCTAATATACACCACTTGGATGATGTTCTTTCTGAGAATGCAGATGATTCGAGGGAATATTCAGGTAAAGACCAGTTCAGAGCCACTATCAACCATGCTTACAATGTTTTAAATAGCACAGAACTATTCACCGATGGAGAGACCCACACTGTCATTCAATTTATTTGTGAGCAACTAAAGCTTGCTATTAGTCAGAAGAACAGACACAGTTATTCATCAGAAACAATAGTGTTTTGCTCTATGTTGTATACAATCAGTCCACATTCATATAGATTTATTAGGAGCCATGGAGCACTTATTTTACCACACCAAAATACTCTGAAGTCAATGCGTAATACATTGATGGTCGATCCAGTTCCCGATGAGAGATATAACTGTTTAGGCTATGCAAAAAACCTTTTCAGATTTGTAAAACCTGGTGAGGAGTAAGTACATGATTTTATTGATGGATGAAATACACATTCAGCCATATTTAGATTTCAAAGGGGGTAATATTGTTGGAACGTCAATTAATAATACTTCATTAGCTACAACAGCCTATGTGTTTATGATTTCAAGCTTCTACTCCGATTTCAAAGAAGTTGTTCAAATCTGTCCTGTTTCTAAAATTGATCATAGTCTATTATACAATATGACAAAAAAACTTATTATTGGATTAGTAGAACTTGGTTATAAAATTTTTTGTGTTGCAAGTGATAATAATGCACTGAATAGTAAAGCGATGGCACATTTTTCTCCTACCAACCTTGAAAGACAAAATGTTCATTTAGCTCTCAAGATATTCAACCCATTTGTAATAGATGCAGTATCAAGGTTTGGTAAAAACATACAGCACTCCGAAGAGACAGCAAAATTCATGGATATTATACGGAAGTGATGGAGAATTGTCAATGTAAAAAGTCCCTTGAAAGGAAAGCGGTTAAATGAACTTTATGCAGAGCCTATTGTTTGCTCCAACAGTGATGGACAAGGTGATGACAGTAAGCTGACATTCTTGCAAAAAATGCTAGATTGGCTAGAAGAGTGGAATGATCCAGCAAAATTTTCAAAAAGATTAACTAGTCAGACTTACACTGCACTGCATCATACAGTATATGGCTTATTGGAATTAGTAAGGTACTGTAAATCTGAACTGCACAGTAATTATATATTGTTAGGTAAATTTCAAACTGACTCATTGGAAAATAGATTTGGTAAGTATCGTCAACTGGCAGGGGGTCAATATAATATATCAATTCGTCAGTTATATGAATCTGAGAAAAAGTTACGAACTCAAAGCTTGATATCATTGAAGTCTCGCTATAGTGATATACAAATAGATAAATTCTGTGAAAATGATGATTTAGAAATAGATGAAATTCCACACAATTTTAATGATTACCACTTTTTCCGGGAAATTGAAATTTTACAGTCTGATATTGATAGTATAAAGGATGAAATCCCTGTCATCACCTACTTAGCTGGTTACTGTTGTTATGCCTTATTAAAGAAAAATCACTGCGATCATTGTAAGGAAAATTTGACGCACGCAGATGTTATTGATATATAAGACAAGCACAATATTATACAAAATTAGAGTAGAGGTGGCTTAAAATTCCCAAATTATCCAATTATTAATATTGTCATGTTATATAATTTTCAATAAAGTTTTGGAAAGTGACGAGGAATCATTTTTAGAAATCACTGATAAGAGACGCGCTCTTTCTCAGTTGATAATTAACAATCTGAATGATAATTATCACGACACTTCATTTTCGCGTTGCATAGTCCATTCACCAGATTATGTTATAAAACTAATTGTTATTTGCACAGTCAATGCATTTTTGAAAAATTATTGTGCCAAAAGGAACGACAGCTTTGCAAGCGATAAATGTTTATTTGTACATATTCAGAATTTAGCACTTCAATTTTCGTTATTCTAATTTTTGTTATTTTTTATACTTGTTTTCTGTTTTCTAATTTTTGTTATTATTTTGTGCTGTTATTTGTTTGTTCTAAGAGTTTTTATTAAATTTTCGTTAATCTTTGTTATGTTTTTTCTGTTGTTTATTTTACATTGATTTTATCTGTTTTTCTTATCATTTTTCATTTTTCATTAAATATGCTGCAATAATATATTATTCACTAGCGCTGATGTACGGCACGCCGTGCTGTCGGCCGGCCGACTGGCCTACTCGTAGTGACGTCACGCGTCTGTTGTCAGGCCTTGTACTCTCGGTGGTAACGGTCCTGGCCGTTACAAAGAAACAATTAAAACTGACAAGAATTAAACCTAAATTATCATTATGAGTAGAGGGTTCTTTACAGAGACGCAGGAAACTCGGAATTCACCTTACGTTTTGACTTTTGCAGCATTTTGGTTATAAAGACCAAGCCTAGATCGTACTGATCGTGAAATTAGTCGGCAAAATTTGCGGCCTGGGTCAGTTTCCGCTGGCACACCAGAATCTTTATTATAATACGAAAGGTATACGTACCTATAGCGAGGGATCCCGCGCCGCCAAATTTCGAACTTCCGCTTCCAAATACGCTGGAGCTACCATTCAGAACAATAGCTTGTTGGCCAACAGGTGGAGATGTCGCAAAGCCAGGCTTCTTGGTGTCAAGCGGATGTGTGGTGGCGAAACCGGGCTTCTTCGGCTGTACGCCGATGAACCCGTTTACATCCCGTACCGTGTCACCATTGCCTGCAAAGAAACCATCATTTAACAGAAATATAACAATGTTGGAGCTGTTGAGCTTATCTCAATAATAGTTAACCCATTTATGAATAGTACAGCCTAAACTTGTTTGTTCCTGTAGATATCTGTACGATTTGGTTAAATTGAATAGCTCGCGGCGACACACACTGTGGCGCCCAATGGACAAAATTACTCAAAAACGTAATTTTTGACATTAGAATTCTGTTGGTTTTATTATACCATTGGATAGATAAATAGTCACTGCAACACGTAAGTATAGTACTTTAATCAAGTTGGCTGCGATTTACCTATTTTAGCAACTTTAAAGATAGACATGTCGAGAGCTGTCAAGAAGGCGAAAAATCTCCCTGTTTTATTGCTCGGGAAAGATATAAATTTTGTGTCGAAATATTTAAATATTTTAACTTTTCCAATATGGCTGGTAATGAGGCTGGTAAGTACATTATATTGATGTATAGATTTATTTAAAATATAATTATAATTAGATAATTTTTTAAGTTAAAGTGACTATTAACGATTTTTTTAATTTTTTTTGAACCTTTGACTTTGTTTAGAGTTTTACAAAAATCACCTCGCATCACCCTAAAAATTTTTTTATTTATTGTTTATCTGTCCATAGTAAGTTTTGATAAAAAGTTTAAATCACGTCATGCCACGTCTAAGGGAGATATAATTTTTTTAGGACATGGTGCTATTGTCAGAAATAGAGATTTGATTGATGTGTGGATAGAAACACCGAGAGGAAATAGCAAACAGGTGGTTTATGAAAAGATATTATCTCTTATTGATATAACAGATGAACCTTCCAAACATCTTAAAAGTAATATTATGAAATGCAGCCAGTTGTTTGGGTTGAATATGGCAAATAAATGGCAGAAAGTAGGACAATCTCGGAATCGACTTTTACAAAATCAGGTATATTGGTTAGACAAGATTGTATATAGAATAAATAATGATTCTGAAGAAAACACATCTTCGGATGAGAAACAAGAACCTCCTTGTCGCTCAGTTGGACGGCCACGGGTGCCATTTGAAGAGGCATCGAAGAAAACAAAACGAAGACGTGTAGCCGAACTGACCACAGACAGATCTGCAAATGAACTTCAATTTGCTGTAAATGTCGTTTCTATAAGCAATCACAGTGAGGTCTCGCCACAAATTTTTAGTTTTAGTACAGCTGAAGCTTTAGCCCTTATGGTAGATTTGGATATATCCGTAAGAAAGTATTTGCTACTTAGGTCTGTTATTAATGGTAAGGCCCAGAACTGCCTTCCTAGTTATAAAGAATTACAGAAAACAAAAAATGCTATCCTCCCTTCACAATTTATTATTACTGAAATTTCTGCAGAAGTTGATTAGCAAGAACTTCTACAGAAAACAGCTGAAAGTATCCTTGAAATAATAAATTTTGAAGAGAGAGATTGCCGGATTAAAGTGATATGCAAGTGGGAATTTGATGGCAGTTCTGGGCATAGCCAATATAAGCAGAAATTTTCTGATTTAGAAAACACCGACGAATTTCTGTTTCTTGTAGCAATGACGCCACTCAGATTGATTGATATGGAAACGAATAAGGTATTGTGGAAAAATGAGAGCCCTTCATCTACTTTATATTGTAGGCCGATCAAGTTTTTATTTAAAAAGGAAAATGCTGATTTAGTGCGGAATACGGAAAAGGAAATAATAACAAAAATTGAAAATTTGATTCCTATTGAGATTAAAACAAAAGAAGGGCACTCTTATATAATTGAAGTTGATATGATGTTAACAATGTTGGACGGCAGTGTTGGAAACGTTCTATCAGAGACAAATTCAACTATGAAGTGCATCATTTGCGGAGCCACACCCAAGGACATGAACACGTTAGCAGGGATTAACCGTCCTCCTAACGTAGACAATTACCGGTTTGGTTTGTCAACTTTACACTGCTGGATTCGTTTTTTTTGAATGCTTACTCCATATTGGATACCGCCTACCAATTAAATCTTGGCAGGTTCGTGGGCCTGAAAACAAAGCTATAGTCGA